CTCATCCAACTAGTGGACAAAACGGTCCGGAATAGACTATCTTCTATCCGTCATCAGGCGTATACCGTATACGGGAGGTTTAGCTCTTTGGTTTGGCACACGATAAACACGAGAATGTTTGTTTTATCTTTATAAATCTCTCAGCACCAATGTAACACAAAGTGTAAAACAATTTTTTGTTTGAACTAATTTAACATTCTTTCAAGAAAAAAACAAAAAGAGCTACAATTATATATATATATGTGTGTGTGATTAAGTTCTCTTATGTTTTGTCACTTCTCATATTTTGGTAACAAATATAATAAGAAATACAACAAAAAAGAAATAAAGAATAATATTAAATGAGTTTTTTTTTACATATTTATTCACATTTTCACATGATCTACTCTTTTTTGGGTATCACATGTAGAGAAAATAACATGTGACATCATGATTTTCACATTACAGTGATGTTGAGTTTTTTAAAAGTATATTATTATCATGTAGTCGTACATTAATTACTGCCACAATTATACTTAAACGTTTGTACATGTTTATGTAAGTTTAATGGATAATGTGACTACTATGCTTATGTGTGATTATGCTTATGTGTGTTATTCTTATTGGCATATAAAATTAGTTATGCTATTGTAGATCATGATACTGCATAATTAAAATAAAAGAGAATGACTTTGAAATGCAATGTTGTAGGTCATGCTACTAAAGAATTGAAATCAAAGAGAAAGACTTTGCAAGGGACAATATTACTAATAATTTGACCTACACAACATGATTACTGAAGTAGAAATCCTAACTAGAAGTTATATGAAAAAAAAAAGATTTTTATTCCTAGCATAAGGCTCATACCAACATATGCAAGATCGCCTTTCAAACTGAAATGGCGTTGTTGTCAGAAAAAAAAAACTGAAATGACGTTAATTTTTTATATGAGTTTGTTATGCACTGATTATCAACAAGAATTAAGGTCAAACCTTAAAAAGTTGGTATATATTTACCAAGTCCAGTCTTACAATTGTACATCACACTATCAAGAGTCACTACAATTCCATAGTTTCAGATTTTTAAAACATAACGACAATAGTCTCACCATAAATGCTAAAGTATAAATATTTGATGTTTTATTTAGCAATATATTTGATATTTAGCTGGCTATCAATAATACATATTGATTGGCGTCGTGTAATTTTAATATTTTTAATTGTGTTTTTTTTAATTTTCTTTAAACAAGATAAATAATATTGAGAGTTCACAGTTTTATATGTTTCAATTAACTACAACTATTATTATTTTGAAAAAATAATTAAAATATTAATGTATTATTTACAATACCATAATTATTGAAATAAAAATATCAATCAAAATTTATGTAAGAAACAAATTATTATTATTAAAATTAAGACCAATAAATAGTGAAACAAAATTCAAGAACTAAGAGCATCTCCAACCCATTGTTATTTTAATCGCTATAATGGCATTCGAGTAAAAATTGCTCCAACTCACCTCTATTTATTTCTATATAATAGATATTTCTATCGTTCCAAGAAAAAATAAATTTCTATTTGTTCCTCTATTTATAAAGGAAGAAATTGCAATCCTCTATTTTTACTCTATATTTAGAAATTGCTATTATAGAGGAGCATGTCTCGTCTCTATTATAGGTGCATTTATTTTAGAGTGAAAATAAAAACTACATTGGAAATGGTCTAATGTGAAAAAGATTTTCATTTTTATGTTTCCGCTAAAATTGAATATCAAATAAAATTCGTACAACGCACAGATCCATATCTAGTAATATATAAAGAAGAAAATCCAAGAGAGAAAGAGAATCACGATTCTACATATAGTCACATATAAGCATATGTTTTTATCTTGTTTGTCAACGCATTGTTGGATAACTTGTTATGGGCCAAAAACTCATGGACTATGAAAATTCAATCAAAACCCAAATAAATAAAGACAGGATTCAAAAACAGATCAGGCCAGTTCGGTTCATCATCCACAAGTTCACAAATTACAGCACAATCTTAAAGAAAAAGGCTGATTATACAGGAAAAAACAAACAGTTAACTTAAGCAGATTCTTAACAAAAAATCTAAAAGAAGAACCTATAAGTTTCTCTTCAGTAGTCTTATCTATCTCCTCTGCTAGACAAGGATGAAGGTAAAGTATGAACAAGACAAAGTATTTCTGAATAATACGTTTATTTCTTGAAGATTATCTCCAATACAAGAGTTCGATAATTATAGCACTCCAGGAAGGAGTGACATCAGAGGCCACAGAGTAAGTCTTAATCTTGTCTTCATAGGTAGAGAGTTTAGACATAACATCGTCCAGACTTGGTGTAGGAAGAGAGTCCATCTAGTTTTCAATCACCGTACTGATAGCTTCGTACTCTCTGCCCAAACCATTCAGCACACTAAAGATCTTTCACTCTCAGGAATGGTAGCTCCGATGGAATCCAGTTGGTCATAAAGTGTTTTGATTTCAGACACATATGCAGTCATGCTTTTGTTTCCTTTTGACAAAGTCTGAATCTTTTGCTGCATAGCTAACTTCCGAGTAGCAGACACTCTATTATACTTCTGACCTAGAGCAAACCATACTTCCTGAGACGTATGAAGTCCATAAACAGACCTAAGAGCGTTTTCAGTGAGAGTACCGTATATCCAGGCCATGATGAGTTGATCCTTTTGGATCCATTTGATAAACTCCAAATTTGCAGCTTCGACAACTTGATCTCCATTACAGACCGTTGTTGTCTCGGCTGGTCTTGGTTGAGTGCCGTTGACGTAGCCAAGAAGCATCTGAGAAGAGAAAAACTGCTCAAACTGCAGTTTCCAGAGAAGGTAGTTGTCATCCTTCAGCTTTAAGGTGACACACTGAGTGATCGTCAAGTTAGACACTAAATGTGGATCTGTATTGCCTTCCATGACAGACACATGAGATAGAAACAGAGATCTACTTTCTGTGCTCTGATACCATGAAGGTAAAATATGAATAAGACAAAGTATTTCTGAATAATACGTTTATTTCTTGATGATTATCTCCAATACAAGAGTTCAATATTTATAGCACTCTAGGAAGGATCCAGAGGCTTTACAGCTATGCTATCTTACGCTAACAAAACGGATAAGAGTGTGTAACGATTACATTACTGTATTGGTTGCTTTTCCGTACACAAGGAAGCACACCTTCGAGCTCTGTTTTAAACCGTTGAAACTTTGTGTTGATGTAGAGATTCTGTGATGGGCTTTTGTGCTTTGATCTGGGCCTTACCAAGCTGGGCCAGGCTAATAAAAGAGTCAGAGTACCTCGACATCCACCAGTCTCACTCTTTCGAAAAATGCCTTAGTCTTCATTACTAGTTTCCCTGTTGACAACAGGCTGTTGTATTAACCTCCAACCTACATAACTTTATGATATCTTCCAAGCTCCATCATCTATCTTTCTCTCTGTGAAAGGAATCCTAAGAACCCAGGAATCCACATAACACATCTCTCATATGCTCTTTCCTCTCGTCATACATAACAAAAAGAACCTTTTAAGGTTTATTATACTCTCTTTCCAGTACTCCAAGGCATGATCCCAAAGGGTCCATAAACACTTGTCCTCTGCAAAATCTACTAACCATTTCAACCATTGTACATTTAGGGTTGGCACTAGACTAAAGCCAATAAAGAAATGCCTTGAGACACTATATTTAATATTCCATATGTTTCATATTATATATCGTTGTAGAATAAAATTTTCATACCAAAATAAATATCGTTTGAGGATTTAAGGAAATTTATGTCATAAATGATATATTTTATCCATACATAAATTAAGAGAAAAATGCAATAGAACTTAATAGTTAAAATAGGTAAGCTAAACATTTATCAATTTCCTTAATGTAGGTGAAAAATCTAAAATGACATCTACTTTAAAATGGAGAGACATTTTAGGGACGCCAATTATCGTTAGTGTTGATCACTTTTGCTTAGTGGTTGGTTTGCGTCCAGGTGACAATTTCGATTTTTTTTTTCTCTATTTATAACTTTTTTTTTGAAAAATAACTAGCAGTTAAATTTTTGTCTCCTTTATAAATATGAACAGTTACTTAAGGATTGATTGGTAGTGGTTGTAGCTTTATATTTTTTACCTCAAAATTTAAGTTGTAGATTTTGTACCTTTTCTGATTGAAAAAAAAAGATTTTGTACCTTTAGGATTGGATTTATTGATGTTGAATTATTCTAAAGATTTAAAAGTACTAAACTTGCATAAACTGACTTTTACAGCTAAGATATTTCTTTTTTTAAAGATTTTGTCTTATAGATTTAGATTTTCTTAATAAATTTTATTACTTTTATTTATTGATGTATAGAGAATTGTGGTTGTGTAGAGCACTTATAGTCATCACTAATCTTTCTAACAATTTAGTCTCTTTATCATAAATATTATATTATATTATATGTTAAATAAACCATTTAATTAAGTAAATTTTAGTGTAATCTTTGTTCTTTTTGGGAGGATAAAATAGCTAAACAAGAGATAATATACAGATTTAAGTTATCAGTTGCTCATATTCTACATTTCATTTTTATCAATCCACCAAAATTAATGCGGTTTTCAATATCTCGCATAATTCTTTTTTCTATTTTTTATATTTATTTCCGTTTCTATACTATTTAACAAAATTAAAATATTCCAAAAAACAAATGATCATAAACTGGGTTTAGAATATGCTACAAAACAAGATTATTAATTTATATCTTTATTTATTTATAAAAATACTAGAGAAACAAGATAGTAATCAACCAATTGGTCTTAATATAAAAATTCAAACATAAGCTCCAGCATTAAAAAGCACCTATTTAAATTATTATTACTTTTTTTTCTTTTAAAGTATTAGAAAGCAACAAGATAAACTAATCATCTAGTGTACGAGGCTTTTCTGTATATTTCCAGTTAGCAACACACATGCTACATGACACACACTAACAGAAAAACAGAAACGTTGTATATAATAAGCAAATCATTATTTTTTTTTTGTTCATACAAAAAAAACAACAAAACATAGACAGCAGAAACAAAACTCACAAAATTGAAAAAACAACAACATCATTAAAGCACAACAAAAACATAACAAAAAAGTCTTCAAGATTAATTCAACAAGAAAATTTAAGACCAGAACCTCGAAACTTCTCTTCAATGGTTCTATCTATTTTCTCTGCCAAGGACTCACTCAAAGTATCTCCCCATCCTCCAACATCTCCTTTTCTAAAGAAAGCTTTAGTCTCCATTCCATTAGGTAACTTCCCTTCTCTATTAACTTGCAAACTACTTAAGCTCTCAAAGCTACACAACTTCACAATCCCTCTCACTTCCTCTTCTCCAACAAAACCACATCCCAAGAACTCAGCTATTCTCTTGATTGTATCTCCGGTCTCCTTCTTCAGCTCCTCATAAGTAACAAACAAGACCTTGTTCGGATTCTCGAGGCTCGCATACCAATACTTTAACACATGATCCCAAAAGGGTCCACCTATAAACTTCCCTTCACAAAACGCTTCAACCGCTTTTTCAATAGGATAATCAGCGGTTTCTTGAGGAGCAAGTTTCTTCCCAAAATGCCATAAGGAGACAAACATGTCTTTAGGGTTTCTACAACAATACACAATCTTACAAGACGAGCTCTTAACGGACTCTGGCAAGGAAAGATGCGGTATGTGTGTGTTCATGAGTCTTGGAGAAGGTAACTTGGAGAAATCTAAATCTGGAGACTCATAGTAAACTCCTTCCAAGAAGGGCACGAGAAGGTGCGGGTTTGTAACCAGAAGAGGATGATCACCCGAAGAAACTGGAAACTTGTGTCGGTTAAGTAGAGCAAAGACAAGAGCTTTTAACCAAGTGGTACCTGACTTAGGATTGGTGACGAGGATAATGTCCGAATCTTTGGCCTGAAAGTGTTTTTGACATTCCAAGAGTCCTTGTAAGAGAGCTTGTGTGTGCCAACGTCCTTGAAATTGATACATTTGGCTCACCAGCCACCCTTTCTCGCTTGGAAGAGAAGAGATCAGATCTCTTGTTTCTTGTGTCAAATCTTCATCTCCCAAGTAATCAGGAACAGCTGATGACGACATTGAGATCAAATCTTGAAAAATGTTAGAAGCTATGAGATGTTTTTTTTTTTCTTATGCTCTGTTTGCATCTATGAGAGGGTACTTCTGAGCTTTTTATAATAAGAATGAGAAGTTTGCTGTACAAGTAAATATTTAAATAGTTTGTGATCTTTTGGTCCTAATCTTTGATGTAATAGTCAACTACTTGCAGAGCACGTAGAATAAATAATATCTAAAGAAGAGAAAGAGAATCACAACTCGTAAGTAAAGTCAAAGATAAGCACCAGAATATTTCAGGCAGATGTCTTTTCTTGTTTGTTGCATTGTCGGAAAACTTGTGATGAGCCAAAAACTAGTGATGGGCCAGAAGCTCATGGACTATGACAGATCAAATCAAATCCCAAAACCCAAATCAAAGCTCTATTTCCAGTACTCTAAGGCATGCTCCCAAAAACACTTGACCCTCTGAATACCTCACTACCCATTTCCTCCGTTGTACACTCAACCATCTCCTTAAGGGTATCTCCAACCATTACACCAAATTTGATGTTTTGGTGTAAAAATTTTTTGACCATCTCCAACCATGACACCAAATATTACACCAAAAGTAATATTATATACTTTTTGAAATTTTTAGTTTTAATAATCTTTTTTATATTCTTGTTATTTATAATTGATAAATAATTGTTTTATCATACTTGGATATTATAATTTTAAAATTTTAAAATTTTATGTTAATAAAATTTATACATTTATTTATGGTTTAACATACTATATGTTTCTATATTTATTTTATATATAATATTATTAACATACTATACATTTTTGTATTTATTTTATATATAATATTGTATTATAGTAAAAATTCCAAATTATTAATTATGAAATCACATAACAGAATAATATATGTATTTCAATATTTGTATTAGATAGTATAACAAATTTAAATATATTAAAAAAATTAAAAACAAAAAATGCTATTTTAATGTTTGATGAATTTGATAGTATTACATAAGTTTAATTATTTACAATTAAATCTAACTTTACAATAACATAATATTATGAATTTTTATTTACTGATTAAATATGACTTAGATAGATATTATAATTGATATTTTAAATAAAAATATATTATAATATAAAATATATGATAATAATTATTTAGTGATTTTTTACTTGAAAATAAATAAATAAATATAAAAGTTCTTTAATATTTTATTTTTAAAAATATAAAATAAAATGATAATAACCAATTATTTATTTTTATTAGAAAGTAAAATTTACAAAAAGAAATATTATGTAAAAATAATTTAAAAATACTAATAAGATAGTATATATGTAAATACTAATTTGAACTAATTAATAATAAAAATTATATTATATTATTAAATGAAAACACAATAAAATATACATATTAAACATTTGGTGTGATGAATAGTGTTACACCAAATTTGGTGTAACACTATTCACCCTACACCAAATTTGGTGGGATGGTGTAATTTTTAGTGTTTCATTGGAGATGAAATCATACCAAATTTGGTGTTTTGGTGTCCCATTGGAGTTGGTCTAAGAGTCAAAAAATTTCATGAAATTCCAGAGAGTGACAAACGCGCTCATTTGGGTTCATGCCGCAGTACACAATTTTACAAGACGAGTAAAAGAGTGATTCCTGAGGATTGGAAAAGGGCTGCCTAAGGTAATATGTTAGTATTTTTATAGATTTGATGTTTTGATTCAGTTTAATTAAATTCAAAAAAAAAAAAGAGGAAAGAAAATTTTCCTATTTTGTTTTCCAGATTCCTTGGCTGCTGTATCTATTTATATCAGATCTAATGATCAAATCCTCCTAAATATTAATGTTTATGAAGATGATGGTCGTCTCGTTGAAAGAGATGATGCTCAAAGCTTTGTGTTTGGATCAACATCATCAACTGCTTATACGGTCAGTGTGCCTACTACTTGGAGGGGCAGTTCGGTCTGTCATGGTACTTGTGACGGTTCAGTATGCTTCTACTCTATCTACGACCCTAGTGTCGGTGTCGTGATGAATCCCGCCACTAGACGACAACAAACTTTCCCTCTCTCCATCATTCAAAACCTTTTACTCGATAGGATGAAGAAAAGAGTCATTGACACCCCTCCTAAGTTTGGTTTTGGTAAAGACAAACTCATTGGCACTTACAAGCCCGTTTTTCTAACTAAGTCATCTGGTTTTGGTTTTGACAATGTTACCACGTGCGAAGTTTTCGATTTTATCACTCAACTCTGGAGGTATGTTCACCCTGCTTTTCCTTTAACCACTAATCCTCACACTGATCCCGTTTATTTAGATGGCTCCCTTTATTGGCTCACCGATGTGAACGAACCAAGGTTTTGTCTTTTGATCTTCACACTGAAACTTTTCATGTCATCTGTAATGCTCCCTTTCCCCATGTTCTTGACCCTTTCAGCGTCACCATATGTGTCCTCGACGGTCGCCTTTGCGTTTCCAAAAAAGACTGGCCTACTACACAAGACATATGGTCCTTCCAATATTCCAACAAGACATGGAAGAAAATGTGTTCCATTGATCTCACTAAAAAAAAATGTGTTCCGTTGATATCACTCAAACTTTTTCTTGGCCTGAGGAACGCGAGCTTGCTCTGTTACCTATTGCAATTCTGGACAAGCACAAGTTGCTCGTTCAAGTTGGTGATTACCGTGGTGCCATCTTCACACTTGATCTCCTTACCAACTCTTATGAGTTACTCTTCAAGCCTTCCTATTCCCTTACTTCTGTTTATTATTTCCAATCTTTGTTTTCCGCTTAATTTTATTTATTTAATTGTCTTGTGTTTTCCTTTTTATTGCTCCCTTTGTAATTTCATATTTTTCAAATCTTTTAACTGGTGCAAGCAACATGTCCAATAACTGGAGCTTTATAGGTCAATTTAGATTTTGTATTCTTTCACAACTAATTATCCCACTGTAACATGTGTTCATAGAAGCTTACACCACTCGATTCAGTCACTCCTTTTATTTTCGTAATGATGCGCAAATTACTATAAAGTAGCCATGTGTATTGCAACCACACAAGTATCCAACACCTTCTATACTCTTTAAAATTGCTTCTCAAACCATAAAATGTTATAGCATAAACGTAGGATAGGTGTGTACATACACATACATTGATGTTGTCGCTGAGGTTTAAATTTGGGAGGAGCGATGAGCATTACGGAGAGGCCTACTCTTTGTCTTTGGAACGCCGATGAACAAACAACTCAATATCTGCCTCCTTTCGAGAAATGTTAGAGGATTAATTATAATTATTACAAAGCAGATATAACATCAGGTGCTGTGGTGTAGTGGTTATCACGTTTGCCTTACACGCAAAAGGTCTCCAGTTCGATCCTGGGCAGCACCATTTTTTTCTTAAGTTTTTTGTCATTTAATCGTTTTAATCAACTGAGATTATACATTTTTAAGATTTTGTAAGACAAAATTATTTTATATTCAATTGTTATGCACAAAACAGAAATAATTCAACAATTTTTATAAATAATTAGTACTTTACACATTTAATTTTAAATTTTGTTATTATATACCGTAGTTAACATATAACAACTTCATTATTTTAAACCATGTATATGATTTATAAAAAAAAAAAATGTCACGTATTAAATTTGGTTTACTAATGAACTTAATGAGCTTGTTGCCCAAACAAAATAAGAATATCTTTTCATTAGCTTTCCAAATGTTGAAATGTCAAAACATGGTTCTGAAAATAAGCGGCCGTAAATTTATACGATTCCTCAAGCCGCGCATCACTTTCCAAACAAACACAACTCGTCTCCAACCATTTCAAAACGCCACTTGGCGCGTTCAAGTGCCAAAGCGAGAGATGGTGACACTGATCGTCGCCACCACCTACGACCCAGCATCAATCAACCCCGCCACGGTGCTTCTCGCCATGCCGGGATGGACCACCGGACCGACCTTACCGCCGGTAAAGTCACGATCTTTCTTCTCCTCCACCGTTCTTGTCTGAACTAAAAATCCCTCTTGTCGGATTCTTACAGAACATCAAGAGTTTCACCAACCAGCAAACGAGATTAATCCAACACGATGTGTCTATAGTCAAAGAAGACGATCTCGATTCACGGTGGGAAGAAGCAACTGGTGAAGTTGTAGATGAAGTCATCTTCCTTAGTCGTCACACCGCTGTCTCGAACCGTCCTGCTCTCACTGTTCACCCCATTGGTAATGCTTAAAAATCGAAACTTTCTTTGTGGGTTTGTGTTATTCTCACTATTCACCCAATTGGTATGATAAAGATCGAAACTTTCTTTGTGGGTTTTTGTTATTCTCTTTATTCACTCGATCAGTATGAGTGGGTTTGTGTTATTGTTACTATTCACCCGATTGGTAATGCTAAAGATTGAAACTTTCTTTGTGGGTTTGTGTTATTGTTACTCTTCACCCGATTGGTATGATAAAAGATCGAAATTTTCTTTGTGGGTTTGTGTTGTTTTCTCTCAAGGATGGTTTGTTGTTTGGATGTTTGAATTGTGAAGGAGTGCTTCACTTAAAGGAAGGAGAATCGCCTCCGCACGGAGGAAAGGCGGGGTGGGCGGGGTTGACTAACCCTAGGATTGGTCCATGGTTGCGTCTTTTGAAGAAAATGGCTGAAGCTCATAGCTTGGTTCCTGAGTTTGAGGTTATTGTTTAATTGTTTGTTTTTTTTAATTTGGGAGATTGAAGTGTAAAGGAGATTGCTTTTTTTTTGTGTGTGGATGTGTGTAGATAACATTGGAAGGTACTCATCATGGACCGTTAACTAGTAAGCCAACCATGTTCTTGGAGATTGGTAAGTTTCTTTCTATTTAAAAGCTCTTTGCTTTCTTGCAATAGCCATTTCTTGTAGTCAATTGCTTAGCTTGTGTGTGTTCATTGGTTATTGTGTATATGTAGGGAGTACGGAGGAATACTGGAAGAGACAAGACGCTGCTCATGTCATCGCTCTGGTAAGTGAAAATAGTTTCCTACCTTTTTTAATGGTTCCCAGGAGGTAGAACAAGGTCGTTGTTCTTGTTTCTTATTGATTCCAGTGGGGTGAAATACCTATATGTGTCTAAACTTTGGTCCTACTCAGGGCCGGTCTTTAGACTTTCGGGCTATAGACAATTTATTGAAGGTTATATGAATTTTTTAAACAAATTTAGAGGTTTATATATATGTAATTTTTTCTTAAAATTTTGGGAGTTGTTGGCCAATGCTTCACTAGCCCATGCTCAAGACTAAGTCCTGCTTCTAATGATTATTATCCTCTTAACAACACACCCTTTGAGGCTCATGATTCGCAAGTAGATTTTAGGGTATTTCCATTACATGTAAATTGCTTGTCAAGTTTTCACTATTTAAAACCTTGTTTTCATTTAGTATTAAAAAATTGTGTTTTGTGATTCAGTTAATATGGGAAGGACTTGGGCTTGGAGGCGGTGAACCTGTGGGGAACTGGAACAGGTAGATATTGATGGTAGCTTAATCGTTACATCTCAAAAAGAAAAATGTTAGTATCATTTCAAGTAATGTGAATCAATTTGGTGGGCAGTGAAACTGGAAAGAGGAAAGTTCTTCTAGGGATTGGAGGTGGACATTATGCTCCTCGTCACATGGATATAGTTTTGTAAGTTGTCAAGAACTCGTGAAGATAATTATTAAATCAATTTCTCTGGCTGATATTTTGGTTTTGTTGTGTTCATTAGGAAAGATGATATTTGGGTAGGTCATTTACTTTCTGGTTACTCATTGCCAATGGAAGAAGCAAAGCCTGGAGAGAGTCACATTGGTGGAACTTGGAGACAATCGATTCAATCAGCTTTTGAAGCTACTAAAGCATCATTCCCTGGAGGCGAGATCTTGGCTCATCTTGATCAAAAGTAATGTCTAAATCTTTCTCATCTATACTATTTTGTTGCTCCTTGCGTGGATTACAAGTAAAATGTTTGTTTTTGGGTTACAGGAGCTTCAAAGGATGGCAAAAGAAGGCCATTACAGAGTTCCTGGCCGAACAAAACATCAATGTCGGGAGGCCAAACGATTTCACCTGAACTGTGCGACCCATAAAATATATGATCTGAGTTTTGGTGTATTGACTATCATTTGATGGGTTTATTTCAATTCTTACTAGACAACTGATTAAGTTACGTGTAAGAGCCATCTATAAGCCTTCTTCAACTTCACTTCAAAACTTTTAGAGTGGAGTAGATGTATGATCCGATAAAAAGTGTATTATAAAAAGTGAAAAAATCGAGTAATTAGCTGTGATGGATTTGTATATTTATAAGGAATTTTAAGATTCTCATCTTGTATGTTTCAATGGTCAGGAGATTTTTTGCTAACCATTGCAATTCTTTGTGCTGACTATTGCAATTCTTATTACTCTATATGAAGAATTGTGGGCATTGGTAAATCATAACACGAACATAATAAAAAATCACAAAACAAAGAATTAAAGAGAAACTAGATTTTGACCCGCGCAACCGCGCGGATGTTTGTTTTCGTTTATAGTTAGTTGTATAAACATTTGTTTTCATTTGTAAATTGATATATATTATAGTAATCACATATTTACGATATGTATAGTAAATGTTTTTCAAACATAATAATATTATAGAATAAGTGTTTAAACCAAATAGATTGTTTCAAATTTTCTATATTATACATGTTTTTCAAACATGTGTTTGTTTCTTCTTCTATATTTTATTATTTGTTAGATTAGTATTTTATTTTTAGATAAAATAATATAAATAGAGCTTGATTAAATATTAGTATACTATACTTTGTAAAGATAATATAAACTTCGAAGAAATGTTTGCTAAAAACTAAACTTATAGCTTCATAAATTAATATTATAAAAAATATTAAAAAGAATTATTTAAACAATTTCTTTTTTAAAACAATATAATTTTAAAGATTTACATCGAAATAAATTTATCTAATATATATAGCGTGTAAATTTTGTTAGAGTATATAAATATTTCATATTACTAATCTGTGATTTTTTTTTAATATATTGTGGATGCATTTAACTATTATTGACATATTTCCTTATAAATAATAGAAGATTCCTAAACTTATATTTATTGACATATTTTGCGTGACTAAGTTAGAAGGTGTGGGGTAATTTACCAAAACTAAATTGTTAAATATATCTTTGTTATTATAGATATGATTTTTCATAAGATATAACAATGATAAGATTATTAGAGACTTAATGTAACATAACTTTCTAGTAATAGTCCATTTTAAAAAAAATCACACATGAAGTCAAGTCATAACTTCTGTTTTAATATATAAGATGTATTGTTCAGAGATCATTAAAAAAAAATATGTATAAATATTAAATTTCTATTTGTTATTCTTGAATATTAGTCTCTAATAAAAACAAGTCTCTAATTGTCTTATCCTATAAATATATATATATAAATTATGGAAATATTGTGGTCTAATGGTCAAAACTTTAAAGTATTCTACACCAAGGTTTGAATCCCAAGACTATACAATTTCTTGGTTTCAATTCTTGGAAAAGACAAATTATGCAGAAAATTAGAAAAAATG